CCAGAATTTGAGGTGTCAGACCCGCGGCCCAGGTGCCCATGTACTGGTGGTTTAACCAGAATTTGAGGTGTCAGACCCGCGGCCCAGGTGCCCATGTACTGGTGGTTTAACCAGAATTTGAGGTGTCAGACCTGCGGCCCAGGTGCCCATGTACTGGTGGTTTAAAAGAAACAACCCGCGCTAATGCTAGGGGTGCTGATAAGAGCAAACACCACTAGCACCAGAAAACAATGGAACTCAAAATGAAGAAGATGACGAGTTTTACTATCATGGCGAAATCAACTTCTCCGCGACATCACCCTGATCTCACACCGCCAGGGTTCTTAACCCTTCTACTCATCCACCACTAGCACTGTCGGGGAGGCTCCATCTATTGGTGGGGAGCAACACCTGCTGGAATCCTCATCGGTCCTTTTTAAGGTCAATGACTTCGGATAGCATTTCTCGAATAGCCTGCAAATTTTCTTATAGCTTTTTCAATAGTCTCAGGTTGTCCTTTCTGGAAACTAATGAAGACTGAAACGTCGTCCATTAGTCTGATCCCATATATCAGACATCTGTCAATGCCCAAAGACTCGTACTTTTTGCTGAGACCTACTTTGGCCCTTGCACGACTGGGCCGCCCAGGAAAACAAGGTCACCCGGGTGGCCCGGCCGTGCAAGGGCCAAAGTAGGTGTCAGCAAAAAAAGTATATATATATATTTTTTTGACAACATCCGCAAAAAAACTATGTTATGCAGAAAAATAAACTGAGCAGCTTTTGCCTCAGGGTCACATCCAAATTCTTTACCAAAAAAAAAAAAGTTAAAAAAAAATAAAAAATATATATATTAATATATTTTTAATTTTTAATTTTTAATTTCTTTTGGCCCGGCCGGGCAAGTGGTCCCGGGCCAACCTAGATACGAGCGCATATTTTGGTGGTCCCACTCGGGGACTGAAATTGCTAGCGCCAGCGAAAAGCAGGTCCGCAAAAAAAAAAGGTTTCGGGGTCTTGGGACTTTCTAGGCTGTAGACTGCGGGTGCAGCAGCGGTACCCCTATTTGGGGTGTTTTCAGAGAACTAAGAATGAGGACATGATTTGGGCCTCGGAGAAGATCACATTTCGGACACTTCAGGATTTTGAATCCTGATTTTGAATCCTGGACCTGCTGGAAGCAGAAATTGGCATCGATTACCCGATGGCTGAATCGGATTGACTGAAACACTACCATCCGGTCCCAGATTCCGGTACAGGTTCGCATGCTGCGTAAGGAATTTCGTGTGAAGAGTTTCTCTGACCGATTCTTCGCAAAAGCCTCGGGAATTTCACGAGGAACCGAGACACGATTTGGATGTTGACGGCTGCTCTGCTGTGTGAAGGTTTGCAGTAGTATAGGATAGAGTAGCTATATAACACTTTCTGTTGACGCCAAAGTCCTCTCTCGACGGCATGGCTCCGGGTACTTACCCGGTTTGGAGTGTGGAATGATGGTGTGAGTCAAGGGTAGAAGGGTGGGAGGAAACGGGATTCTCGAGTTGTCGTCTGTTGCGGTCTCTTGGATTACCTTACCTTAAAAATTGCTCATGCTTATGTCAACTTGCGGACTGGATCTCAGATTGTGCTTGTGTGCGTTATGTGCATGCTTCATGTGTGCGTGCCATGGTCTTGGTTCGTATATTGAATACTCACCCATTAAACTGTTTAAGGTTCTGTGGGATAAGTTTTTGCCCAAGAGGACTTCTTAAAAATTCTAGTCTCTTTCTGAAAAT